GAAAAAGGGGATGAATGTGACACCATGTTTTCAGTACCATACAAGTTTAGTATTTTGCCTTCTTAAAATTAGTACTTCTAAAAATAAAAAATATACAATGTATACGGCATTTGCACATGTATAAGTTGAAGAACCATGAATAGTCCATTTATCTTAACAAATGGGCAATGCTATTGAAACTCTGTGATGTTCCCTGATCACAGCCTTCTCTTATTTTACCTTGTAGGAAACGAGCCAAGGATCGCTTCTGAATTTTGTTTTCATCATTCCTGTTTTTATTTGTAGTTTTACTACTCATGTACTCTGAAACTGACATGAATGACTTCACATTGCATGTACTCATTAACAACTTGCTTTCTTTTCACTGTTTTTGAGAGTCAGCATTTTCATGCTAATTCATTTTAGTACATTAATTCTCACTGCTGTAAAATATTCAAGCGTGTGATAATGCCATACTTTATCCATTCTCTTGCTTTGTGGATAAATTAAACTTAAATATTTGGGGTGGAGAGCTGAGATGACCTGTGTCAAACATAACCTTAACCATTTGCTCCAGGAGAGCCCACTAAGACAAGACAGCAACCCAAGGAATTTTACTTCACTATTACCTTCAGGAAATTCTTGTGACTCACTTGATCCAGGAAGATAGTTTGCACATCTGGAAAAATCACTTTTTTATAAGGACAAGAATTTGTTCATCTGGATACACATTGAGCTTATCAGAAAAACAACATAAAAAAAAAAGACTATTAACCCTAAAGAAGGCAGAATAGAGGGAGAAGAATCAAAGAACAGATGGGACAAATAGAAAATTAGTAGCAAGATGGTAACAGATGTAAATCCTACCGTGTCAATAATAACATTAAATATAAATTGTGTAAACATTACAAAACATTGTAAGTTAAAAAAAAGGTCTCAAAAATTTTACAGTTTGAGACTGTCAAACTGAATTTTAAAATGAAAGAACTGTCATCCACAAAATACCAACTCTCAATAGAAAACATACACACACAAGAAAAGGATGGGACAAGATTACAGCATGAAAACGCCATTCCACAACTGGCTCAGTTCAGTTCAGTTCAGTCGCTCAGTTGTGTCCGACTCTTGGCGACCCCATGAATCGCAACATGCCAGGCCTCCCTGTCCATCACCAACTCCCGGAGTTTACTCAAACTCATGTCCATCGAGTCGGTGATGCCATCCAGCCATCTCATCCTCTGTCGTCCCCTTCTCCTCAGGGGGCTAGCCTGACCTAATTCCCTGGTTTCTTTCTCGTGTTGGAAAAGCCAGGAAGGAATGAGGAGGCAAAGAGACACAGAACAAACTGCACGGCGGGGGCGGCCACACTTACCACAGGAAGGAAGACACAGCAGCCTCAGGCCAGCGGACCCAGAACGTTCCACGGAGCCGAGGCGCCGTCGAGGACCAGACCCTACCGGCCTGTCCCTGCCGCCCACACCCCCATCGTCCCCGCGGAGGGCTTCCTGCGCGAGCCTGAGGGACACTACGCCTGAAAGAGGCGGCCTTCGAGAGGCTGCAGGGCGCCGTGAGGCCGTACAGCTGTGTCTCACCGCGCGGCACCCGCGTGGGGAGAGAAAGGGCGCTGCTTTAAGCTTACGGCGGGCCCTCAACGGTGCGGCAACCCTCAGGACCATGCCGACCCTAGGGCGCTGAGCCTCGCGAGGTCGGCTAGCCTCACGTGTGCGGCCCCGAGTGCCGCGTGACCCGCGCCAGTGCCGCGCCTGGCGCCCATGCTGGGGGCGTGGCCACCTCGCCCGCGTGACCAGCTGATCAGAAGCACGTGGCAGACCCCGTGACCGCGACAGCCCAGGGGACCGCGAGGTCTTGGGGTCGCTGCAGGTGCCTGGGGTTCGGCAGTGAAGCTGCTGGCCAAGGTTGGGGGAGCTAAAACTGACTTGGATGCAGGGGAAAGACAGAGCTCCTGGGACCAGATTGCCTGAGTATGAAGCCTGGCTCCTGGCTAACTAGGTGGAGTAAAGTACCTTACCATTTCTTGAGAGTCCCTTGGACTGCAAGGGGATCCAATCAGTCCATCCTGAAGGAGATCAGTCCTGGGTGTTCATTGGAAGCACTGATGCTGAAGCTGAAACTCCAATACTTTGGCCACCCCAAGTGAAGAGCTGACTCATTGGAAAAGACCCTGATGCTGGGAGGGATTGGGGGCTGGAGGAGAAGAGGACGACAGAGGCTGAGATGGCTGGATGGCATCACCGACTCGATGGACATGAGTTTGAGTAAACTCCAGGAGTTGGTGATGGGCAGGGAGGCCTGGCGTGCTGCGGTTCATGGGGTCGCAAAGAGTCAGACACGACTGAGCGACTGAACTGAACTGAGCCGCTTTCGGCTTCACTTTTTCTCATCTTTAAAATGGAGATATTAAGTCTCCTTCTCAAAGGACCGAGGTGGGAATTAAGTTAATGCAAAATGCTTAATACAGATACCAGTTTTTAATGGTAAATGGAAACCTTTAAAATAGTGTTGTCTATCTTTATCAAATAGTATTTGTTTAAATACCTTTCTCTAATCCTACTTTTTGTAGTTATTCACAGTAGCTATGTATTTTATTGAATAGCTTCTCAACATCTATTGATACCCTTTAGTTTGTTGGTATAATCAAATATGTTGATAAAACTTCTTGTTTCTGAAGTCCTTGCAGTACTGAAATTGATCCCATTTGTTTATATCATAATTTTATAAATGGATAGCTGGGTTCAGACTTCCAACAGTTTACTTGAAATATTTGCTTCTATATTTATAATTGAAATTCATCTTATTTTCTCTGGTGTGCTATCTTTACAATGCTTTATACAATGAATTAGGAGTCTTTCATTTTTTCCTGTGGACTGGAATTATTTAAATAGCATAGGAATTACATGATTATGAATTTAGATTAAACTCAGCAGTAAAGCCATCTGAGCCTCCATTGAATTCAGCTATGCTTATTAGTCTGTTTGAATTTTCTTTATCATTTTGGGTCAAATGGGATACTGTATGTTTTGACAGTAAGTTGTCCATTTCTCTCAGTTTCCAGATTTATTATCATGAGTTTGTACAAGATGCTTTAATATAAATTTTTAAGCTTTTCTGTAATGTATCTTATTAATAACATTGTACATTTATTCTTCTCTGTCTCTTTTTTAATTAGGTTTACCAGGGATTCACTTTATTATTATTCTTTTTAAAGAACGAAAATGTGTATTTTGTATCATTTAACATATAACATGTCATGTATCACCAAAAAATTAAGGAACAGTGTCTTAAACAAGACAACAGTTCATTTCTCTCTCAGATAAGAGAGGTACAGAGGTGTGCAGTCTGGAACTGTGTCTGAGCACTGTGACATCATCAGGGACCCAGACATGGTCTTCAAGCTGTGATTCTGCTGCCTAGCTTCCAACCTTGTGATCTTATCATTCACAGCTGTGGTACTTTAATGATCAGATTCATGTTTCTGGCCAGCAGCAGGCAGAAGGGAAAGATAAAAGAATTGCTTCACCAATAATTCAACCCCCTTCATCAGCCATCGCAGAAGTTCTGACCATACTTTTGTTTATTTATCATCTACCAGAAGTTAGATGCACAGTCTGAGGCAAGAAAGTTCTAGGAATGCGGGCTAAGTAGACTTCCACCTGGGGGGGAGGGGGCGGGGAAGAGAGAGAGAAATCAAAGTTCTATTCTTGGATAAGAGGACAGGAATGGATACTGGGGTGGGGCTGGAGGTACCTGCTACAATTTCATGTATCCACTCCAACATTTCTGCTTTCACTTCTACTTTAAATTTTCACAGCTTCCATTTCAATTAATGTTTCTTCCTAATTTCTGTTGGTTTACATTGATACTAATTTTTTAAGCCCTGAGGTCAGTTTTTTTAACTTTCAAATAAAACAATTGAGAATATAAGTTTGAAATCCTGTATTTTGTTGTTGCTTCATTTGCTACATCTTAACCTTCTGCCAGTAAATGTTTATGGAGCTGTCCCAAGACAGCTAGAACTAAGACCATTAGAGTTTATGAGCTTTGAAAGTATATTCTGAGATGGGTGCTTATTTGACATGTTACATCTTTCTCAAGACATAGTCTCTCATATCATAATTCACTGAACAAACTGCCTTTGATTCTTTAAGATTACAAGTAGTGCTGCATCTGCCGTGCTTATGGGAGCTTACCTGGTAGCGAGGCTGGTAGAAAGAATCCACCAGAATCGAATGCAGGAGACCCTGGTTTGATTCCTGGGTCTGGAAGATGTATCTTTATTCACCCGTGTAATTACATCTGTAGGATTAATTTCTGTAAGTGGAATGGCTGTGACAAAGGATGTAAAAAGGTGAAATCTGATACCTAGCACAATATAACTTATTCATTTGATTGTCTTTTACCCTCTAAAAAGTTTTCCAGAAAACATTAAATGCTTTTCCCATACACGTTAGGTGAGAGTTTAGATAGCAATCCAGTCGTATCAGTCAAAAGTTAAACGGGCACAGCCTCTGGCACAAGTAGAGAAGCTCTCTTCTGGAGTCTGTCTTGCCGAATTGATTTTATATGTACACAAATACACTCCTTACATGATTTGGAAATAAAATCTAAAGATGATGTTGAAATTAGGGGGGGGGGATCACCTTGAAGACATGTACATGTATTATGATTCCATTTTGTAAAATAAAACTATGTGCAAATGTAAACACACATTAGTATTTAAGTACAAAGTAAAAGAATGAAAACAATACATCCCCAACAATGGCGAATGGTTACGTCTCAGGAGGCAAGTCAGGTTGGGCCAGGAAAGGGAGATTATGGTTAAGAGAAAGGTCCACATTTAAGTCCATGTACTTTTGTATTCTATGTATCTTTTACACTATGGATATATTTTCATTTGACTATTAGAGGAGATGAGATACTTAATTAAAATTAAGTTGAAATGTTGGTACATACGTTAAAGTTACCTGTGCTATCATTTCATTAGTTATACTGTGTATTTGCCNAATGTGCTGAAAGGCATTCCTTTTCTCCCAGAGTAAGTACTTTTCTCTTCTGATTTTTTTACTTAATTACTTTAAAGTTTGGACTGCAGAGTAAATCTTACCAGTACACTTTCTCCAGAAAGATCACTCGCTGTGCTCCAGCCCATATGAGACATAGCTTGGGGCAATTTATGGGGAATAGACATGTGCCTAATTAGGTCTGAGAAGATTCCTTCCTCTCTGCATGTATCCACTGGTTAAGAAATTGTAGAGGGAAGTTAATGGATTATCACATTTAATCTTAGAGATTACGTAATTTGCTAGATATGTAAACATACAGTTTTAGGAATGTATCTACAGCTTGGAACCACAGCCCTCTGCTCCCCAAAAAGGAACCATCTCCTTTTGGTCTGTCTGGTTTGCCTGTGTATGTGTGTGTGTACATGCACACACATGCACGCTCAGTTGTGTCCGACTCTTTGTGGCCCCGTGCACTGTAGCCCACCACGCTCCTCTGTCCATGGGATTCTTCAGGCAGGCATACCAGAGTAGTTTGCCATTCCCTTCTCCAGGGGAACTTCCTGACCTAGGGATTGAACCTGAATCTCTTACATCTCCTGCACTGGCAGGCAGGTTCTTCACCACTAGTGCCACCTGGGAAGCCCTTGCCAATGACACATACATTAAACTTGTTAACAATGTCCCTAAGTTCCTTCTTGCTCATTTCTGGGGTTTTTCTTCCTTTTGGTTTTTGGTGGTTGTCTTTCTTTGTTCTTTATGCCTCACGTACATTGACCTTTGCTTTGGTATTTCTTCAAATTTACTAGTCCTGTATTTTGTTGTGTTAATTCTGCAGCTAAACCCACCAATGAGCTCCTTATTTCAAATACTATATTTTGTTATTTCTAGGACATTCATTTGATTCTTTTTATAGGTCACAATTATCAAAATATTTAATTTTATATTCATTTTATCTTTCCATCTCTTATTTCTCATATTATCCAGTTTTCTGAAACCCTTGCCTACTAACTCTGTATCATCTCCAGGTCTGTTTGTATTGACTATTATATCTATCACTAGACACTTTTCTTGCTTCTTGTCACATATGGTAATTTCTTTATTGCATGCTGGACATTGTGACTGAGACTTTATATTACATTATCACCCTCTAAAGAGTATTGACTTTTGTCCTGGTGGCAGTTAAAATACCAACAGATCACTTTTAGATTTTGTTAGGTCTGCTAAACAGATTTGTCCTAATTCTCATGTCTTTACCCATATGGCACTGATTTATGGAATCTCAGCTGAATGTCTAGGTTATTAATGTATTTTAAAAATAATATTTTTTCCAGAGGAGTGATAATATTCTTTATTTCTGGCTTCTATGAACAGTTAAGTTTTCTGCTTATTATTTAAGTGAATTTGAAACAAACAAGATTTGTGATGGAGGAGCACCACTCTTTAACTTGACCACTGTGAGTTGCAGCAGTTATGTTTTCCCCATAGTTCTGTGTGGACCTATACCCAAATCTGTATTTTCTTTTCCAACCACACAGTCATAAAAAAGAAGATAATCATTTTAAGAAAATCTTCCTAAGAAAATCCTTAGAAAATCTCAAGATTGAAGGGAAATAAAAGTTTATTACAAACAAAAAATATACTTATGCGTTGTGTTAATTCCCTGCATGTCTGTGTTCACAATGAGATGAGAGGAAATGAGTTGAACATAAACAAAGATGAATGTCCATTTCTGCAGTTGAATTAAAAATAACAATCATACAAGAATAAAATAAAAAAAACACTTGAGTTTAATAAGCATCTAGTACAAGAAAAAAGCTCAATATTTTTCCTGAATCCTGAAATAGGGTTTTTCAGAATAAAACTAAATGTAATAATATATTGGTTGGGAGGGTTTAGGTACTTGAAGATACAGGTGTATCTGAAGATCCTCTAAGATTCAAGCATTTATCACCTCCATGGCTGACAACATGACACTTGACCTTCCCTGCAGGGCAGGTCTTGGAATATCTCCATTATTTCCCCCAAGCCTGACTCCAGTGAAGGAACATGACTACGTAAAACCCAGCCCTTAGTAAGTGGCAACAGGTAAATAAGACATATTGTCAACTGGAAGCACAGTACCTAGACCTCCAGGTTTTGCATAATTATCTTGAGAAAATTTTAATACCTTGATTTCCTCTTTTTTTGTTTATTTTGACATTTCTAAAAAGTGCACATCTATGGGAATTCCCCCATGGCCGACTGGTTAGGACTTGGTGCTTTTACTGCCAAGGGCATGGGTTCCATCCCTGGTCAGGGAACTAAGATCCCACAGGCTGGGCAGTGCAGCCAAAAACAACAACAACAACAACAACAAAAACCACGTGCATATCTAAAGCTTGCTATCCATTTTCTTTTCCTGAAGAACCAGAGTTACTCAAGTAAACTCAAGTAAATGATGTTTAAACATGTAGAACAAGAAAGAAGAATGTACTGGTGGTCTGTCTAAAACTAAAGTTCATTTTACCTTGTAGGTCTTACAAGTCTGGGTGATTATTCTTCTTGAAGTTCAAGTTTGTCAGCAGTTAGTTAACTTGGAAAAGGACACAAAGGGGAATGATACCAATTTTTAGCAAATTAGCAACTGTCAATTTTGGTTGGTAAGCACATATTTCATATCTTAATCATGTTGGACATCACTTGATAAGTGGGATATCTGAGACTTGCTCCTAATATATGCGAAACCCATCAGAAGCTTTTACCAAATGCTTTTGTGTGTGTGAAATAAGAATCTTATTTGGCCCTTATCATACAAAGTTCTAATCTATGGCAGGCAACCCACTTAGAATTTTAAATGGATGTTGACCATATATATACACAGTTGAGCAAAGAAGTTAAGCATTTAATTTAATGAACAGAATAAAGGAAATGCGAAACCCATCAGAAGCTTTTACCAAATGCTTTTGTGTGTGTGAAATAAGAATCTTATTTGGCCCTTATCATACAAAGTTCTAATCTATGGCAAGCAACCCACTTAGAATTTTAAATGGATGTTGACCATATATATACACAGTTGAGCAAAGAAGTTAAGCATTTAATTTAATGAACAGAATAAAGGAAATATTTGCTTTCTGATGGTGTCACTCTCTCTTAACATTAACTGACTGCCAGCCACAATGCAGAGAGGAGACAGTGAGTATGATGAAAACAAGGACCAGGAAACACCATACAGAATATACAGCACATGAAATGTTGCTTAATTAATGTTTGCTGAATCAGTAGAAATTTGCTGGCTTTTTCTTATGTGTTTCTCCAAAATTTCCCTGTGAAGCATTTTTTATGCCATTTCATTGATGAGGAGATTGAGGCTTGGACCCAGGGCAGATCCCGAAACAGTGGGTGATTGAGCAGTGTTCTCCCTGCCTGTGCTGGGCTCATTCTTTCTCCTGGCTCAGCAGGATGCCCTCCTGTGGCCTGGGAGCTGAGTGAGAAAGGAGCTGGAACTGAAATCAGTAAGCACAGTAGACGGACCTACCAACCAACCACCAGAGAGATCTGTGAAAAAGGGCGCATTCCAGGAGTCGTGAGCACAGCAGAATGACGACAGGAACCATGCAGCCAGGTACCGGGGACAGCATGTGGGGAAGAGAAGGAGGCAAAAGAGGGGCTCACTGGGGACAGATGGGGAGCTGGAGAGTGGGATTTCTAATACGAAATATGTATGTGGCCTGCAGCCTCGGAATTTCCTGTGGTAAGAGGGATAAAGTTATTTTCCAAAAAAAAAAGTGGGGAAGGGATAAAGGTATCTTTCACTATGTCAATGAAGTGACTTTGTAAAGCCTGTGGGGAACAAAGGGATGGGGGCTAGCTGCCAGGGGAACAAACCACGTGACTAGAGGGGTTAGCACCTTTAGTATCCCCCCGACACCAACAACCTCAGAGAAGGGAACAGGTTGAGGCTGAACCCGTGAGCCAATGGCCAATGATTTAATCACCTGTGCCTACGGTAAGGCAGTTCCCATAAAAACCCAAAAGGACAGGTTTTAGAGGGCTTCTAGATTGGTAAACACATGGAAATTCAGGGAGAAGGAAAGGGGCCTGGAAGCTCCACACCCCTTCCCCACGCCTTGCCTTGTGCATCTCTTCCATGTGGCTATTCCTGAGTTTTATATATCCTTTTACAATAAACTGCTCATCTAGTAAGTAAAACGTTTCTCTTGAAATCTATGAGCCACTCTAGCAAACTGACTGAACCCAAGGAGGGGCTCGTGGGAACGTCTGATTTCTGGCCAGTAGGTCAGAGGCACAGCTGACCACCTGGACTTGCAGCCTGCATCCGCAGTGGGAGGGGAGGGGGCGCAGGGAGGGAGAGGAATCAGTCTTTGTCAGGCTGCACCCCAGGTCCACAAAGTGTGTACTTAGCCAGCTTCAAGATCAAAGAAAGAGCCTAGAGTCAGCGAAATAGACGTCAGTGGTTCAATGGGCAGTGGATCAGACACGTCTGAAGCAAGGTCCTGGAGCAACACCCCGTCGTGTGCTATAGACGGCGGGCACGACATGGCAGTGGTCTGCACTCCTGGAGGAGAGGGAGGCTCCTGGTTAGAGGGGGAATTGGGTAGGGGGTGCTCATCAGTTACCAGGGAAACCAGCAGAGGGCACAAGGTCCCTCCCGGGCCCTGTGATGAGCTAACCAGTGGAGATGTTCTGGTCTAAAGGTTAGAATGGTCAGGAGCTGGGGTGGGGGCAAGTGTGTAGGAAGCTCAGCTATGAGAATAAGGCGTGGGGGAGGCAGGCTCTGGGGACCTGGGAGTGCACAGAGAATAAGACAACAGCCGTCTTTGGAGGCCTCATCACACAGTGCTGCAGACTAAACACTTAGTGAGCGCAATCTGATGTTACCTCCAGGAGGCTGAATTGAGTTGTACAAATCGCAGCCAGTGTCCCAAGAGTTGTTGGTTGGTGTAGGGTACACCCACACACATAACATTTAAACTGCCAACCAGAACCTGTTCAGAGAGAAAACGAAACCATCCAAGGCTTCTGGGCAAATTACCTCCTTGATGCAGAAAGAGGGCATCTTGAGAATTTGCCCTGGACTGTGTGAAAGAGTGTTTTAAAGCCGGCGTTCAGAATGGAAAATGCAGCTCTTTAAGGGACGTGCGGTCAAATCATCCTTCCTTTGCCTTAAAAATAATAAAATGTGGTGCGTGAGTTAGGGTCTATATTCCTCAGGGTGCCCGTTAGTCCGTATTCACCACTGTATTGTCCGTCTGCCCTTTAACGCCCACAGATGGGCCTGCTTCACCAATATGGAGGTCCCAGACCTCAGTTTCAAACGGAACAAAATTAGACCAGTGTGGAATAATTTTTTATTGGCTTGTTGGTGGATTTCTTTGGGTTCATCCTTGTTTTCCACACACTTCTTTCAACCTGGCTTATAATTATGCAACTACAGTACCTGCTAGAATCAATCAGCAGCCTTCCAAACCCAAACACGTTCATCCTTATCCAAATGTAATTTATCTGAAATGCCATGTTGGTATGAGCATTGTGCATTACTGCATGGGCTTCTATTTTCTTCTTAAATAATGAAACACCCTAATGGAAAATATTCCCTCTAAATAAATTTTAATGAGCACTTATTTGCCCAAATTGTCCTTTCTCCAAATGGCAGAAATTTAATGTGAACTTGAATTATCAGGGGCATTTTGTGATAATGGGCTTTGGGAATACATCATGCAAAGATGAATTATTTTCCTATATCATCCTAAAGTGCAAGTGCTGGGGTAACAACTTCTCAAATGCGAAGTCAGTTCCAACGTCTTCACTTGTGTCTCTACAGGGAAATGTCACATCAAACATCATGTCAAGGTGTAAGATATTACTGGAGATTGAAGACAACAAGAAGCCTAATAATTATAGATGGCATATACCCCCAGACTTTGCCGTGACAAATGACATGTGTCTGCTACATGTTTTTGGTTCCATGCATTGAATTGTTTTCCTTTTAAGATTTTTTTTGGATCTGGACCATTATTAAAGTCTTTATTAAATCTGTTACAATATTGCTTCTGTCTTAAGTTTTAGTTCTTTGCCCTGGAGGCAAAGAACTAAAACATAAGGATCTTAGCTCCTGGACCAGAGGCCTTAGCTCCCCAACCAGGGATCAAAAGCTCAACCCCTGAATTGGAAGCCTTAACCACTGGACCATCAGGGAAGTCTCCCTGAATTGTTTTTCTGAGGAGTGAAAAGTAAAAGTGTTAGTCACTCAGTGGTGTTCGACTCTTTGCAACTGCATGGACTATAGCCCGCTAGGCTCCTCTGTCCGTGGAATTCTCCAGGCAAGAATACTGGAGTGGGTAGCCATTCCCTTCTCCAGGGGATCTTCCCAACCCTGGGATTGAACCCGTGTTTCCTGCATTGCAGGCAAATTCTTTACCAGCTGAACCACCAGGGAAGAAAGCCAATAGGAAATACCGCTCTATGCCATGGGCAGGCTAGGAACTGGGGCCTTGTTGTGCTCAGCAAGACTCGGAGCCAAGCCAGCTGCAGAATTAGGAGAAGTGCCTTCCAGAGAAGAGCTCTGGCCTCAGCAAGAATTACAAGTCTGTGGAGCAGGGAGCCAGACTCAAGGGCGCCCCCTTAGACTCTAGGATGCACACTGTTAAATTACTCTTCTAGACTTTCTCTCCACCTGAAATACTGCCAAAGGGAGCTGTTGCCATTTCTGAATCACTTTTTTAGAATCGAAATGACACTGAGAGGGATCATTTAGTCCAACTATAAAAAAATTTGTATCACATACCTACTAGACGCTTCAGAATATTAAAAAAAAACACTAAAAGAGAGAGCTCCCATTTTCTTTTTGTCACTGAAGTATAATTTACACACAACACTATATCAGCTTCAGGTGTACAAAAGAATGATTCAGCATTTGTATGCAGAGCAGAAGGATCGCCTCAGTAAGTCTAGCTAACAGGGAGAGTCTCTGTGTTCAAGGAGCTCTGTTCTGGGATGCTGACGGCAAAGCCAGAAGCACCTGAGAGTATCAGCGGATCCCTTTCTTCAGATCACGAGAGGGCTCGCTCAGTGAGCACCTCTCGGCACCAAGGAGCCCCTGCATCCAGCTCTCCCCACGCCCGGGAGGCTCTGGGTGTGGAGAGTAGCGAGGACTCCAGGTACTGAGGACCGCATCCCCACCAGCCTCCACCAGGCCTGTGGACACCCTGAACACTCTGCTTCCTTCTCAGTAAAATGGGGGGAAGACGCCCCTCCTGTAAGGCAGCGGGTGAGGCACTCACAGACGGTAAACATTTAAGGCATGTTCTCTGAACCTCCCGTCCCATGAGCAACCATCTCCTGTCACCTCTCCCCACCGCATTGAAGTGGCTCAACTGGAGCCACTGTTTCTTCTTCCTTCCTCACGTCCCTCCTTCCTCATCTTCTCCCTTGGCCTTTCCTGTTTCCTCCTTTTTTGTCTCCTCGTCTATGATGCCATTGGCCTGCCATGGCTAAGCTCTAATGGGACTGAGGTGTCAGTCACATAATGAGCTGCTGTTACACTTCACTCATCATTAGCAACTGATTTACTGGGAAAGCTCTACTCCGGGTAAAATCATTACCTGCCAGCGTGATGTGACTTGTAGAGACAGGCTTTGCCTCTCCAGAATACTTTCAGTGTTCTTTAAGTAACAGCGCTCTGAGTTTTCTTTGCAAAACTGATCAAAGCCTCTGGTTGTGTCAATCACAGTGCCACTGGACGTTCACTCAGGACAACTCGACTCCATTTCCCAGAACTTGAGTCTCAAGAGAAATGACTCATCGTGGGAAGGAAGGTGGATCTAAGCCATTGCTATATATATTCTTATTTGTCTCCAAAGGAGAAGGACTAATCACATCTGCTACTGGATTCTTCGAACTGCCTTGATACTGTGCCTGATTGATTTTCAATTCTCCCTTCAATCTGATGAGCTAACCAGTCATCTTGAAACAACTTCCTTTTGCATGTAAGCTATGGGCAGTCATTTTCCATTCGTTACAGCCACAGCTCTTTGTTACTATTCTGATTCATCATAGCATCAATAAAGAGTATTTAGGGATCTGGCTGCAAATATTAGTATCGACAGTAATAGGATACAGATTTAAAGGGGTTGAAACAGAGCCATCCGCTTTGCTTTTGTCAGAAACTACAATGGGGGATTCCCTGGTGGTCCAGTGGTTAGGATTCCATGCTTTCACTGCCAAGGGTCCAGGTTCGATCCCTGGTCAGGGAACTAAGATCCTGCAAGCCTCGCAGGTGACCAAAAAAAAAAAAAAAAACTATAAGTGACCTGGTCCTGAACTAGCTCAGTTGAACACAGAGCTGAAACTTACCCCTGCCCTGCAGACCTTACTTCCAGGTCAGAGGGCTGAGCTCTGGGAAAAAGGAGCTAGGAGGAAGCAAGCGGCCTGAATTTCCCTAGCCTTTCACTTTTTAAACACTACTACAGAGAGTTCTCACTCAAGCTGTCCTGTAGGAAATTGAGTTTGGTTTATTTATTTATTTGGCTGCACCAGGTCTTAGCTGCAGCAGCGGGGATCTTCAGTCTTCATTACAGCATGCAGGATCTTTTTCAGTTGTAG